TCCTCGGAGAGTGTGCAGGGCTTCTCTGTAGACACTTTCAATTGCAGTTTGATTGCATTTGGTGAGAAGGTGGGTAAAATTGAGCCCAAGTAAGGAGAGCTGCTGTGTGTGGCACATTCGCTCACTACATCTCTTAGGTCGGACCCCTTCCCTTGAAATTCTCCGCAGTCATTCAACTTTGTGGACCTTATACTATGAAATATCACTCTTGTAATCTGAGAAATAAACGATTGCTTGCAATGTAGATGGATACTTGGTAGCGGGACTGATTAGAGAAATAAACTATGAAATATCACTCTAGTGCCGACCTTATAAAGAAAGGCCCATTTATGATACAAGGTGCTTCTACGAATCACTCGTTGATATTGATATGGATGGCAATGATGTTCAATTTCTCAGCAACAGAAGTATTTGGCTTTACAAAGCTTTAAACATGTGGGTTAACCAATCTGAGTATCACCTTAATTGAGAAGGATTTCGGCATCCATATACTAAGGATAACATGCACTACATATTGCCCCAGCTCTATATAAATGTAATGTGAAATTCAAGTAAAAGTTTTTTTATGTGATCTTGATGAGTGGATATCTCTCTTAGTCTGAGTGTTACCACAGTCATGGACATTCAGATTGTATTCAAGTGCTACCATGTCGCTACTTGTGATGAATGATGTTGAAGTGTTGCCATGTCGTATGAAATGAAACTAAAGACTCTTGATCTTGAAACCAACCCCACCCCCAAGCGAGATAATCTTCCACTGAATAGAATGGCACGATTATTGAACCAACTCTCTCAGATACGTATATTGATTTAATATGTTTTGATGATTATGAAACATCTTGCTATTTTGTATCTGAGTTAATTGTGTTGAGCTGTTGTGCTAGGGTTTGGACCTAAATGGTATTTATGGACGCGTCAAACTATGATCACTCAATCTCAACAGTGCCGGTCTGAGGAGCTCTCTCTTCCCCGATAATAATTTATTTACTTTCATTTAGAAATTCATCAATGTATTCAATTAGAGATTCTACACGTTGATATTGTATGAATAAAATTCCATCAGAGAACTTGGAAACACAGGTATATAGAAGAAATTTATATCGTTTTCTTTATTCAGAAGCATATTTTTAAAATCTTTCCTTTGCTCTCTGGTTTTCACCCCTCTTCTAATCTTCTTTGTTTTTTCTTAGTTTTGCACTAATTATGTCATGTGCTAAGCTTCTATTTTTTTCTTCCTCTCTCTCCTAATAATTTATTCCAAATTTCACATTGAACAAACCTCTAGCATTGTAAATGCTTCGGCCTTCACTGATTTCACTGTCCAACACATGATATTCTTGATCCTCTCCCTGCTTTGTTCACGCATGGGAGTGTGTGCTGGATCCAGAGCCACAACATCCATACCTTTCATTCAGTAACACCCCACAGCCAATAGCCGTAAATCAATCCCAACTTTTCCTTCATTTCTCAGAAAATCAGGTATGTCTTGAAATTCACGCTTCTAATCCTCCCAGTTCTGGCATTTCCCATGTGCTCAAGCAACATTTACCTTGCTCTTTTTTTAACGTGTCAGGCCTTCCCAAATTCTCCGATCACGCTGTCTTGGTTTAAAGGTTTAAAAACATCGCTGATTTGAATAAAAGAAAATCGAACCATTTTCTAGGTGGTACAAGTTTTAAGCTAGAGACAGGGAGGTAGGGAGGGAAATGAAGCAGTGTAAGATCACTGTGTTTCTAAAAGACCTGTCCATACGTTTTAGAAAAGAAGTTAGAGAATGCAGTCTTCAAGCTACGACCACTGTAGTTTTATGTTTGTCAATGGTGTCGTTTGTTGTGATTCTTGCAATGTTCATAAATAATAATGTCAAGAAATATCTGGTATCCGAAGATTATTCTTACTATCAGTTGGCTACTTTTACCCCTCTATCATCTGGGTCTCCATGTCCATATTTTCTTTGCAACTCTTTTTTATCTCCTACTTCCTTGCAACCATCGCAATTTCCAATCACAAGCTTGAGAGACTGGGTAACTCCAAAGGAACTGTGTCATTCTATGAATGACAAGGAGCTATTATGGCGAGCCTCAATGGTGCCACATATTGATGAATACCCTTACAATCGTACACCAAAGGTTGCTTTCATGTTCTTGACCAGAGGGAGTCTGCCTTTGGCCCCGCTTTGGGACATGTTCTTCAAGGGACACGCAGGTCTCTACTCAATCTACCTCCACAAGTCACCGGAATTCACAAATCAACACCCTGAATCATCAGTCTTCTACCAGCGTCAGATACCAAGCAAGGTCAGAACTCATAAATTTATTTTGCTTTCAGTTCGTATATGTATTGACAGGCAAAACTTGGCTTCCCAAAGGAAGTAGAAGAATATTGTAGGCTTTAATTTTTTTGATATGCATATCCAGTGCATTTAAAGTGTTTCTTGCAGCCAGCTGAATGGGGGAGAGCAACTATGATAGATGCTGAGAGACGTTTATTGGCCAATGCTCTACTCGATTTCTCCAATGAAAGATTTGTACTGCTCTCCGAGACTTGCATTCCAGTATTCAATTTCAGCACAATCTACAACTACCTTATGAATTCAAACCAAAGCTTCCTAGGTTCATTTGATGACCCAAGACACATGGGGCGTGGTCGGTACAACAAGAGAATGCGGCCAACCGTGACATTGTCTGATTGGCGTAAAGGTTCTCAGTGGTTTGAAGCTCACCGCAAGGTTGCGATCGAGATGATATCTGATGTGAAATACTATCCTGTTTTTAGAGATCATTGCAGGCCTCCGTGTTACATGGATGAGCACTACTTCCCAACTCTAGTAACCAAAATTTCCCCTGAGCTGAACTCAAATAGGAGCATCACTTGGGTTGATTGGTCTGGTGGTGGATCCCACCCTACAAGGTTTGTGAGAAAGGATGTCTCTGAAGCATTCTTGAATCAGATCAGGAATGGGTTTAATTGTACATATAACGGTGGCATCACCACAGTTTGCTTCCTTTTTGCAAGGAAGTTTCATCCAAGTACTCTAGACCCTTTGCTAAGGATAGCTCCAGGATTGCTTGGTTTTCGCTCTTAATTAGAACCTGATGATGTTCAGCCATTTTAAGAGCAATTAATACAATTGGATCAAGCAGGAAAACTAGTGGGATGATTTTAATTATAACAAAATCACGAATAAAACGACTCCTTAGTGACAGATAATTACAGTTGCATAGATAGGATTCGGATAGCACAGGAACCAAAAAAATGGTTGTATTTCAGATTTTACCATGGTTATACCTTGTTTTCCTCGGTCAGAGGGTTCCTACCATTATCCGCATATCCAACCTGATCTTTTATATTGATTTTCTTCTTCTTCTTCTTTTTACCATGGTTGTATTTCAGATTCTCACATCCTGAGGGACCCGTCATTTATATTTTCGGGGAGAACAACTTGTTTGGATTTGAAGTTCGGATTTTAGAAGACCACTTCAGCTGAATGACGTTCGTAGGCTGCCCATTTCTCAACTCGCAAGTTACTCGCCGTCTATTTTAATGAAAGCTTTTGGGCCAGTTGAAATGGGCTACCATGGTTGTTCGAGGTTTAAGAGAATACAAAGGCTTGATGGTCGGCCCATTCTCGTCAATAAAACATGGTTCGAACCTATAAGAGCGCCTCGGATGTTTAACACTTTTGGTGGTAAGAATATATATTTTTTTAATTTTTTTTTTTAATAATTTTTATGGGCTGGCATCAAAAATAAAATTTTTAAAAATAAAATAAAATTATTTTAATATATTTCTGAGCAAAAAGTAATTATTACTATAATACTAATTATCTGAGAATTTCATTAAAATTAAAATTCAAAACATTAGAAGGACATGTAAGAAACTAATTTACCTAGTTATTTGTGTCTAGCCTATTTGCACACACAATAATTGACAATTTTCTGTATTGTTTTTATTTAGATTATTATGTGGAAACGGTTTTGTTTCTGAACTTATTCTAGTTATTTCCATTCTCAAAGAAATCAAAATCATTAATATGTAATAAAAGCGGAAGTTTCGTTGTAGATAACTATTGATGAGGAGAAGATAACGGTAGTGATAATTCTAACAATGATGGTGATGGGCGGTGAGAATTCCTCCCGTCATGGACAATATAAAAATCCGCTCCAATTAAATTAGACATGAGGGCTTGTTTTCCTTCCCTTTTCCTTCTCAAGAATCTTCCTACAAGAACTATAAAATGGAGGAACACGTGATTTATTAAACCAGCAACGCTGTGCTGATGCATTCCGGTGGTCACTCCATAATGTTAGGAGTGATTTAGGGTTTAATATTCTCTCTTGAACAGTCAGCATGCAACGCCGGCAATGATTTCTTAATCAATTGCATGAATAATAAAATAATTCTCTTGGTCTGGTCCCTCTAGGGTGGCCACCTCCCCCATGGCAGCCCTTCATTGATTACCAACAACTCACAAGACGTGTATGTTGAGCCAGCTTGTGAAGAACCTTCCTTCTATGCAAATGTATTAACTGGCGGGCCGGCGGCCTCTTCGCCAACGCTGTGCTGCTAAAATTATTCTTCAAAGTCAAAAGGGCCTTTAGCTTTCCAAATTCAGACAAGGTCAGAGTTGGTAACTAGCTAGCACACATTTGTTACTTTAATTGCCACTACCAACTTATTCATTTCGAAGGAAAAAGAAGAAGAGAGAAGGTATAATGCTAATTTTATATAATATATATTTTTTAAATAAATAAATAAATTATTGAATGAATGAAATCAAGTTATTCAAGGCATGAGATTTTCTGTAAATGAGCTTAGAAAAAAAAAAAAAAAAAAAAAAAACTAGCTGTATCTTGTTGAGACAAAAACAGCTTGATTCTGAATTATTCCACGTGGTTTCTTTTTTTAATGTTTGAACACGATGGATTCAATGTTGAAAGCGAGAAAAAGTCGTAATTTTCATTATTAAAAAAAAAAGAAAAAAGAAGTCGTAATTTTAAAACAATGAACCAGAAAGCCACCGTCATGAAATGGGGTCGCACCACAAATTTAAGCCAACGGCATCTCATCTTCTGATTTCCACACCACTCTCTAGAGATTTCCCGTCTGTCCTCCTCTCTCCCTCTCTCAAAAGTCATCAAAATTGTGATTTCTTTGTTGAGATTCTCCATTAAACATGCTTGATCGCCTTTGCTTTAAGAAGATCCCCATCTACCTTTGCATGCACATATATATGTAATAGTTAGTTGTCTCGTATTAATTTCTTTTTATTAGCTTTTGATTTACACAAACTTCTAACAAACAACTCTACTTATCGTCACATCTAGCACTGCTTACAACAAACGTTTGTTTGACAGTATCATTTATTCTTAAGATATCATCATTTTTTCCAACTGACATCTCTTGTGCTCGAAGGAAAGAACTGCTTATTGGATCAATAAAAGAATAATCCTGAAGCCTTCGCTAGCAAGACTACCACTACCCCTACTTTAGTTCTTTCGAGTTATTGAACTCTTTCCTTTCACAAATCAAATTAAAGCAACCGATTACCATGAAGGGTCAAACTCAAAACCAGAATCTGGTCACTACATTTACAAAGCTGTTCAATGCCCAGTTGCAACTCATCAATGTCCTTTCTCTCTTCTTTTTATTTGGCTGTGGTCTTGCCACCGGAGTCATTCTTAGTTCCTATCTCAACAGCATATCATTCAATCTACAAGTCAGTCATTTCTCTTTTTCTACCACAACAGCATCGCCAACATTCAAGTTGCCTCCTCGCGTAGGCTTGAAAGAATATCTGAAGGTGCCTGATGTTAAGCATGATATGGATGAAAAGGAATTGCTGTGGAGAGCTTCCGTGACTCCAAACATACGTGAGTTTCCATTTGATAGAGTTCCGAAGGTTGCTTTTATGTTTTTGACGAAGGGTCTAGTTTTGATGGCTCCACTGTGGGAGAAATTCTTCAAGGGACATAAGGGGTTGTACTCAATTTATGTGCATTCAAGTCCATCTTACAATGAATCAGAGCCCGAAAGTCCTGTGTTTCATGGCAGAAGAATTCCCAGCAAGGTTAGTTAATTTATCGCATAATTTCGTGTGACTTAATCATGTGAATTTAGCATTTCTTATCCTATTGTTTTGATCCTTACATGATCGACAATAATTCTATTGCACAAATTATTAATTAATGATTGATAATTTTTTTTTTCTTAATAGCAATACTTGATTGATTAAAGCCCTTTTGATTTCTATAAAAAAAGAAAAGGATTGGAATCCGTGGGATGTATAGCCATACTCGCGTGAGAAACTACCTAGGGTGTTTCCTAGAGAAGAGATAAAATGAATGCCTTTTGTATCACACAGTGGACTGGAGATCAATAGAGATCCATTTCTCCACTCAATGCAGGTGTATGAGAAATTGTCATTTAGCTAAAAAAAGGAGGTCATGCCAATCTCAACCACCGCTCCTCTCTAGACAAAATCTCTACCGCCACAAATATGTACTCGTTTACATATCAAATTTAGCACATTAATAAATAAGCACGCACACACAGCATGTACATTAAGGTTCTATATATATTTATGATTACCCATTCCTGGCCCTTTTAAGTTGAAGTGGAATTTGTTCAGAGACATGTTGTTTGCTGTCCATGGGATTCATGAAGGTCTTGACATAAGAAAATGAATGACGGTCTAAAAGATCTAATGAACAGAAAAACAGCGTAAAAGAATGATCTAGTTGTCTGCGTGAGTCATTAGACTGCTTTTTCTTGACATTCTATAGCACAGTTTCTACGGTTCTTTTTTGTTAATTATGGTTGCTCAATTTCCTGCTTACGTGCCATGATGCAGGAAGTTCAATGGGGAAATGCAAACATGATTGAAGCTGAAAGACGACTATTAGCCAATGCACTCCTTGACATTGCTAACCAACGTTTTGTTCTCCTCTCGGAATCATGCATTCCAATCTTTAACTTCTCCACTGTCTACTCCTACCTAATGAACTCAACCAAAAGTCATGTGGAGTCCTATGTCTTAGAAGGTCCAGTAGGTAATGGCCGATATAGTCCACGGATGAGACCTGGGATCAAAATTGACCAATGGAGGAAAGGCTCACAGTGGTTCGAAATAGATCGAGACCTTGCCATTGAAATTGTCTCAGACCGAAAATATTTCCCCCTCTTCCAAAAGTACTGCACGGGACAATGTTACGCTGATGAGCATTACTTACCAACATTTGTGACTATGAAGCATTCGAAGAGGAATTCAAATAGGACTTTAACTTGGGTTGATTGGTCCAGAGGTGGGCCTCATCCTGCTAAGTTTTCAAGGACAGAGGTGACCATTGAGTTTTTGCAGAGGATGAGAAGTGGCAGCAAATGTGTGTATAATGGGAATCACACCAACACTTGTTTCTTGTTTGCAAGGAAATTCTGGCCTAATGCTCTAGATAGGCTATTGAGGTTTGCTCCCAAAATCATGCATTTCAACTCATAGGTTTATAGAATAGTTTCATTCTTTATTCATTTGTATAAATGTTGCATATTCCCTCTCGAAGAGATTGAGGTTTACAGCTCTATGATTCTTTATTCCTTCATGTTACAAGATATAAAACGTGGAAGTTTTTAGGTTTTTCCCTTGCATGTATTTACATGTGCTCCGCTTCAATAATATTAATCCTAATTAATAGAAGCACTGATTTTATTTCTGTTGCACTGATTTTGTTACTAATTCGTTGTTCTTTTGATGAACATTGTTGATACCATATAGCAACAATGGTGAAAGCAAAACCTGTCGTCTTGGTTCGCGCAGTTAAAAAGGACAGTAAAAATCTATCAGAAATTCATAATCATCTGCTAATTTGTTTTTTGAATGTTTCTAATTAAATCACAGTCCAATTGATTGATTACTTTATCGAAGCCTGGGTACTCGGAGCCTTCCCCTGCTGCTGCTGCTCTTTTCTCTTCATGCTTTCACAACAAACGCATTCATTCATTTTTGGAAAAATTAACATGATAATGACTACCATCTCCAAGATTTCATCTCATGTTCAAGAGGGCATGTTGACTGTAACCTAAACAGTTGTGTTTAGGCCCTTGGGGGCCAAAATTGCTGGCAACCCAATTTTATTCATGATGGGGGGGGTGGGGCGTGGGGGTTTGCATTTAAAAAGCCCTGACAAACAATATTTTTATCTTGCTGCTTTGCAAAATCCAGCTCTAAAAATCTAGAGTCCTAAATGCAACCAAATAATGTCTGCCCCATACTTCTACTACCAATTGATTCCATTCGATCTTGTAGGCTTACCTTCAGGTCTGAAATGCAGTTTTCAAACCAGGCCCTCATACCATTAGCAGAAAAGAATGATTAAATTGAAGTGCACATTCCATGATGATTAAAAAGTAAGATTCCATGGCCCAAAGAAGAAAAAAGATTCTTTGTCCAAGATGTAACAATTAAATACTCCCATTCATGAATATTTTATGCAGATGAACATGGCAATCGCCTCAAGATAAGAGGCCACTAGTGACTAAAGAAATGTAGGGGGATTGGCCATCCCTGTCCCAGTAATCAAGTTCATGATTACGAGAACATCATTGGTAGAACAAATTTCATCAACTCTTTGCGATCTTTTAGCATAAACGGCCAAAAGAGAAATATATCCTCCGATTCATTGAATCTAACAAAAAAAAAAAATAACATGGCAAAACTCAATAATGCAGGAAAAGAAAACCCACCATGATTTACATCAAACCCCAGTACTCTTAGTTTATAACTGAATAAACTGCCTTTCTCCTTCTGCGACAAATTGTTTAATCACTGGCCAGCTCCACTAGTGTCTTCGGACAAGCAAGGAGAATCAGAGACAGAGTCAAAGGTGTCGTGACATGGAGACATTTCGACCCCGCGTATCTCCTCAATCATCCTAACCACGTGGCCCATCCTCGGCCGATGATCAGGAGATGGAGTTGTACAAGCCAAAGCAATTTGAAGCAAGCCCACCATCTCCTCCTCAATATCCTTATACCTCATCAGCTCCAAATCAAACACCTCAGCCGTCCACTCCTCCCTCACCACAGATTGGACCCACCTTGGCAAGTCCACAGGCCCACCATACCCATTCCCAGGCCCAGCACCACAATCCACTATGGAAGGGCATTTCCCTGTTAAAATCTCCAATAGCAAAACCCCAAAGGAGTACACGTCAGATTTTTGGGTCTGTTTTCGACCGTCAGATGCTGCTTCGGGAGCGCGGTAGCCATTGGATCTTGGGGCAGAAGTAGTAGAAGATGCAAAGAGAGTGAGCCCAAAATCTGAGACACGGGCATTGCCTGCCTTGTCTAAAAGGATGTTTGTGGATTTTATGTTACCATGGACGAGTTTAAGAGCTTTGCATGAGTTGTGCATAAATGCTAACCCACGGGCTGCTCCAGCTGCTATTTTTAGCCTAGTAGTCCAGTCCAGTGGGGTTCTTCCTGGTCCTCTGTTACCTGTCGAGATACATAATTAGGCATATTTTCCCACAAATTTAATAATTTTACACCATACTAGAAGAGTTGGGTTGTGTATCAGGGGTGTCTCCCTCATGTAATGTCACCATCAGATGTTCGAGATAAGAGTCCCGAACAATTTGGTTCGAAGTGTCTCCTAAAATTGGCTTGATCTAAGCCACCGACCAAACAGTGACATTAGGTCATGGTTATGGTGTGATTAAAGAGCCTAAAATAAGAGAAATCATTGCCCCGTTAACCTATACTCACACACTAGATTCTTGAGTCACCCTAAAACACAATAGTATAGCTTGGCTAATGAGGTTAATTTTTGGTCTTATATTCGCTGGAAAAGGAAACAGACCAAAAGGAAAAGGCTGGTTGAGAAAACACAATTATCTGTAGTGTTGTCCACTCCTGCTATATCCCAAATCACGATTAAGCTCAACTTTTCTGTCAAACATTTATAACTGCTCCCTTGTCCGTCATGAATCATGACAATAACAGTACCTATGCATGGACCCCATCCCAAATACACCTTACTATTCAGGGGCGAGAGCCAGCCTTGCAACCATTGGATTTAATACCAAGAAAGAAAGAATTCATCAAAACTACTCGACTATGGTCTGCTTCCAATGCAGTGGTAGCACAAGCACAACAGCATATGGAATCCAGGCCCCATACTATCAGCCAGATGTCCAGTTCCATAAAAAATCAAACCGGAAAAGTTCAGAGGGGCCCGCTAAAAACCAACCTATACCTACTATAACCTACCCCGCGTGTTGGACTCCTCCGGCTGCACTCTACCTTCCACTTGGGCATGATCCCAAAATAATTTGTAAATTTTTCATGGTCCACAATCTAAAGCAGTTCCTAGAGTAGCCCCAAACAATCAAGAAAGATCATCGAAAGAATAAAAACAATGAAAGAACAATAGCAGCTAAAGAAAGGAAACAGAGAAACCGAAACGATATTGTAATGGAAACAGAGAGCCCCAAACAATCAAGAAAGATCATCAAAAGAATAAAAACAATAAAAGAACAATAGCAGCTAAAGAAAGGAAACAGAGAAACCGAAACGATATTGTAATGGAAACAGAGAAAATTGAGCAAAAACGTAATGCAACGTACCATGAAGTAGCCAAAACAAGCTCCCATTTGGCATGTAATCATAGACCAACAACTTCTCTTCTCTAGCGAAGTAATAAGACTTGAAACTAACCAAATTAGGATGTCTTAATCTCCCTAAAACCTCCATATGTTGCTCTAACTCTCTTTTCCCTCCAACATTAGCATCCTTGAGCCTTTTCACCGCCACCACATTCCCATCATCAAGCACTGCTTTGTATGCGGTACCAAATCCGCCTTTCCCTAACATCTCTGCTGAAGCTCTAAGTAAATCTTCAAGTTCAAACCTTTCCACCCCTTCAAAGAACACCATCCTTCCCCTCTCAAAGCCCGGCTGGTTCGGGTAAGGGCTCGAAGAGTAAACAATCTTCTCGGTTTCTAACAGCTTTGAGCCCTTCCCATTTCGCATTTTGGCTGCGTAGTTGCGCCAGAAGTAACAGTAGAGAAGGAGAGAAACCACGGCAAGAATTAAAATATCCCCCAATATAATGGCTATTAGGGCTAATGGGCTTATTTTGGTTGATGTTTTGCCGATTTTGTGGTTAGTGTTTGTTGGTTTGTTTGGTGCTACTGCTGAGCTTGGTGTTGAAGAAACTATGCTTGTTGAGTTAGTTCCAGGCAACAATGGAGACGCTATAGCCCCATCGGATCCGGGTCTTGTCGGGTCGGAAGCTAAACTTTTACAAGCCTGTAACGGGGATCCACAGAGACTAGCAGGGAGGTTTTGAGCGAAAGCGGATTCAGGGAAACCCGATAAAGATTTGGGTATTTCACCGGATACCCGGTTATTAGAAACGTTAAAGTCTTGCAAGCTTGGTAAATTCAAGCTAGAAATGGACCCAGTGAACTGATTCTCTTCCAGCCTTAAAGTCAACAGATGAGTCAAACGGTTGACAATCACCGGAATGTTACCGGAGAAGTTGTTGTGAGACAGATCCAAACGGTAGAGTCTAGAAAGAGAGAGGACAGAAACAGGGAAGGTACCGGAGAAGTGATTGTGAGATAAAAAGAGAAGCTTTAACGCACTGAGGTTAGAGATGTTTTGAGGTATGGGACCTGAAAGATTGTTTCTTTTGAGGCTTAAGACTCGAAGCTGAGTGAGAGAGGTTAAGGGCTGCAAAGAGCTGCCTTGAAGGTTAAGGTTTTCGAGGACAAGACGAGAGACTCGGTTGTTGAGACAAGCAATGCCGGTCCAGTTACATGGGCTGGTGCTGGGGTTCCAGTCTTGGAGCTTGTTATCTGTGTCTGACAAGGTTTTGAATTGCAGAAGAGGTTCTGAATCTGGGTTAGAAGAAGCTTGGAGATGAGAGAAATGAAGAGATATTAAGAAGAAAGTTGTCATGTATGGAAATAGAAAAATGGGTTTTGCTAGTGCCATTGTTGAGGATCTGCAACAGCAGAGAGAGGAGGGAGCAAGAGAGGGGAGTGAGGAGGATTGTTTGTAGCTTGCAAGGGAGACACATGAGAGTTGAGGGTGTGATTAATGGAGAGGTGAAGGGGTTACCTCCTTAAGTAAATGACAAGTAAATTAAATTACTAATAATTAACAATCTTCATTTCTACTAGAGATGATTTGAGGTGGATGGAACAAACAAGCAGAGTGAACTGAAAGGCATGTAACGGATGTACTGCGAGGTTAATTTTGATTGAAAAGACTTCACTGCACTTCTATTCCTATTAGAGTAACGCTCTGGAGTTAATTTTTGTAAATTAATTTTATTAATTATACTTGAAGCCAGTTACAATGGCTAAACTGGAGTAACTACTTCCTAATTATTCTTATTAATGTTGAAGTTTGTAGAATCCCTTTTGATTTTAAGTTAATATACATAGTTGAGTGTTTGTAAGTGTGATGTGATATCTTCTATTTTTCAATGTTTTCTAGCAGTGTGTTTTATTTAACAACATTAAATTTATATTTTTCTTGGTTTTTTTTTTTATTTTAATATGTTGTTGTTAAAAATATTAAAAAATATGAAAAGTAATTATTTTAATATATTTTTCAATTAAAAATATTTTAAAAAACCATCATTCACTATAAAAACAAAAATATATATAGAAGGATTGAAATTTAAGATTACACAAATAGATCATGTTGTGATTTTTATATTTAAATATTAAAATTAATCAATATATAAATATACCACCTTGTTAATAAAACCAATAGAATAAGAATAAATAGAATGGAAGACCTGAGCTAAATTCTCATTTCTCCCATCTAAATCAATATCTTGCTGTTAAACAATAACCAATCATGGTAAAAAGCCCTGATTTTGTATTGTTATGATTTATTAATCGTTATCTTCCGTAATCCGTACCTCCAAGATATCCATCCTGACACGCGTGGTTTTACCTTTTCAGTATTACTATTTACTGGACTGGAGTAAGTTTTAAATTAAAACAATTCTTATAATTTTATATTATTTTTTATATGATAATATCAAAAACAAATATTTAAAAAATAATAATTTTAAATCTTTTCAAAATAAAAAATACTTTAAAAATAACTATTTATCATAACAGTCATGAAATCACTAAAATCAACCCCCTTTGATATTATATTTCAAATGAAAGTTTGGTAAATTAAAAAAAATTATTTATAATTAGATTTTATTATGTTTTTAAAATATTTTAATATATGAATAACAAAAATAATTATTTTTATATATTTTTAAATAAAAAATATTTTAAAATATAATTACACTACAGCCCTCTTAAACACTGTAAGTTTTTTTTTTTTATAATTCTAACTGCGTATTAGAGTAGACTGAGCTCTCAACTTTTTTGACTGAAACGGGAAGATGTCCTTATTATCCAGCAAGTAAATTACCAATTTGCTGTGGACATATACAGCTTTTGACAGACAAGACAGGAATTATTTGGTTCATCTTTTTGTTTGGCTTGTCAGCATCAGGGCATGACTTCTTTCGAAGTCATGAGATTATGGAAGAAAGGCAGGGGTAATATTGTGATTTCGATTCAAAAAAGGGCACAAGTTAAGTTGAACAGCGGCACGAATAAAGAGCGCAGCTTTGGCTGGGCTTTGGTTTTCGAATTTGTTGCCATTTTAAGCTTTTGCTTTCGCTTTCGCTTTTCATCTTTTTCGCAAAAAACCGGTCTGCTGGTCATCTCTTGCTTAGACCACGGGTTTCCACTTTCTAGCTCATACTTCCTGCCACGTGGTGCATTGACGACTGGCTCCTTTGCATATCGATGAAATACATCCCTTCCACTTTACAATCATGCAATATCGCGGTGGGAAGCTTTAATTTAATTTCATGTGATTTATTACTTGTTTTATTTTTAAGAAAGTGATTTTTAAAACACCTTTTATTTTACATATTGCGTATCAATATTTATAATTGAATTTTTAGTATAAACCAAGGATATTATAAAATATTTTTCGAGTTGTTTTCATTGCACAGCCAAGTTTAATAAAATAATTCGTTTTTTTTTTAAAAATAATTTTCAATGGATAAATGAGGTTTAAAAAATTAATGACTGGAAATCTCTATTGTTTAATTTAGAAAGTTTAATAACTTTAAAAAATATTATTTTCTAACTCAATTCTATTATTCGGACCATTTTATATATGATGCAATTAAATATCAAAAAGTAATTAGTTGTTTTTTCAAAAATAATTTTAACTTGAAGCTCATTTTAAGTAATTCGCTTTATACAAAGAAACTAGGCCTTGTTTGTTCAAACAAATTTAATTAGGTTTGGGATAACTTCCCTTATACCCTTTTTTTTTTTAACTAATGATAAAGGTGTTATTAGATTAATTCTGGTATGCTGAGAACAAGTTCCCTTTCAATTGAATCTTCGACATGTCATGTACACTGACTAATATATTCACAATACAATAATTTTTATACCCTTTTAAGAGTTTGAATCTTGGACAATAACGCAGAGAACATACTAAATTATTAAACAAACTGAGTTTCCAGAATTACTCACTGCATGCCAGTCTAGCTCATGCTATTAGAATACTAGCAAAATCAAACAAACAGGGCATTGAATTTGTCTCGGAGACCAGCATTTCTCGCTTTACTATTTGAATATTCATGTAATCGATAGTAGGCCGTATATTAAAACTACGGTAGACTGGCACCCTGTCCTTGCACCCTGCACGAAGAAGGCATGAATTCACTCATAAAATATTTAATGCATGTGCAGTTTGCCGATGGCTTTATTTTCTCATGTCTCCGATGTTGAATGCAATCGATTACTGGCTTTCGTTTTCCAACGCAATCGAGTATAAGAAAATTGGAAGGAGAATTTTGTCTTGGGGCTGGGGCTGGACCATGGAGCCTTCGACTTCTACTCAAATTTGCTCGGTAGGGCACAGCATTTGAGTGGGGCTATAGCAATAATTGATGGAGAGCGTCAAAGGCGTTTGTTTCAGTGGGACGGTCAACCAGGCTGCAAGGTTGTTCATGAAATTACATTATTTTTCAGCTCGGGAGAGAAGCTCGTTTCTGGTCCAATGATCTAGACAAGGTTGTAACTCCATTCAAAACCAGGGCGTCGTACGCGGGAGATGGCTAAGGACTTATATTGGTATTGTCGATGATTTTTTATTCTTTCTTTTCATTTTTTTTAAAAAAAACTATTTGCTTAAAACGACCGACGGTCAAGTTGCCAAAACTTTAAAGAAGAAACGAAACGAAACGAAGTGGTTTCCAAAAATTTTTTTTTCTTTTTTTACTCCGAAGCTAGGCTTGGTGGTATAAAAAATAAAGGACAAAGTTGGGTTAACCATAAAAACAGCGTTGGGGTTTCCAATTTGAGCTCGACTTAAGCCGAGTTTCACAGGAATACTCACATGGTTTGGCTGGGCCGGCATGTGTTCAGGTATCTACTCAGGGTTTCTACCGTGGGCCTAAGATTCTGGGTTTATTTGTATATTGTGTTTGTATTCTGGGCCTATTGTCCCAGTGTACATTCTTACTTGCTTTTGCCCAGTTGAGCTATGGACCATTTGATTCGAAAGCAGCAGAACGGCTGTTAGATCAGCTTGATTCACAGAGAGACATCATCTGCTAAGTGTGTTTGGTATTGTAATAATGATTGTGATTATAATTTGAAAAAAAATATTTTATAAAAAATATTTTTAATTACAGTTAGTTTAAAAAAATATATATTTAGTTAAAACTATGGTTTAAATTGAGCTTGAACAAAAAATAGTTTAAAGTGTTTGATTAAAAAATGCTTTTCAAATTGAAGCTATGAAATAATTAAAATATATATATATTAATATTGATGGTTTTTAATTAAAATATTATTGATTTAACTAATGTTATTACATCATAAAATAAACAATACTTTATATAAAGTATTTTTTATTGTTGCATTAAACTATGTTCAATTTCATTACGCATTAAATCTATTCAACAAAGACTATAATTTCCATAATTCCTTGAGCGTGTAACAATATCATATAAAATATCATTAGGAATAAAATTGGGATTACGATCAAATTCTACAAATGCTACATCATCATTTGATTTCCTTCAAATGTAATTATATAGTGCCATTAAATTATGTTAAACATTAATTTTTCAAATAAAACATAATATTTGAGAAATTTTTCCAGATTTTTTTAATTTTATTGGGTTACACCCGATTCAATACATTTAGATTTGGGCCGGACCCGATCCAGCCCATTAACAATGTAGTTATTGTCCACTGTTCATGTAAAAGAACAGTGGAGACATGGTGCAGAAAAAGAAAAAAGAGAATGAGAAGGGGAAGGGAAAGGGAAAGGGGAACAAGAAGGAGAAAGGAAAGGGGAAGACCATCCACTATTCTTCAACGTGAATAGTGGACATGGTGCAGAAGAAGAAGAAGGAGAAGGAGAAGAAGACCATGCCTCCACTGTTCTTCAATGTGAACAGTGGTGTCTCCACTGTTCACGTTGCAGAACAGTGGACATGGTGTAGACGCAGAAAAAGAGGACGGGGAAGGGAAAGGGAAAGGAGAAGAGCTGGGAATCCTTTTTCTGTGTTTCTGCAAGGCACGCCATTGTTTACTGTGTTGTAACACAGTTGAAATAAAAGCAGCGAAAAATTATTTCGTGCGACCATGCATCCCAAACACAGTAAGTGGTGGAACCTATAAACAGTAAAACCTGTTTTTTCCACAACTAAACATGCAGGAGCTGTATTTTATTTAAAATACAGCTGCAACTGCTTAAACAAACAGCACCTAAGTCAACTTCTTGGTTCCTTCACCTATAAGATAAGCATTGTTTCTCAAAAAAGCTTAAAACCTATTTAAGCTTGACCACCTTAATAATGCTAGAAATACTTAATTTTTTCTCCACTAAGAATGATTTCAAGTCCATTTGGGAATACGCTAATTGAATGAAAAGGCAGAGCATTTCTTAACTGTTCAAAACTGTGAAAGATTTTCGATTCCCTTGCAGTCTCTTCCTTCCCTGTAGAAGGTCACTTTATTGAGCTACCTAACAAATGCAAGAGCTTTATACCCTTGCGCAGTGATCTGTATAAAACGTAAAGAGCAGCACATCCCCTTGTAAACTTCTTTCAGCGATTACTACACTTCACCTAGTTTCCCTAGATTTTATCTATAGTTCTATACCATCAAGATTGTTGTATTTGAAAACTTTCCTCGTATAATTGTTGTCTTTAATATTTCTTAAGTCATGCCTGCATTTTCTAACTAACCTGATGCGAACTAGCTTGTTGCAGCTTGTATGAAACAAAGAACGCATGAGAAATACTCCTTAATTCCTTTCCTAAATGACTTTGGTCAGCACTTTCCAGGCACTCCTCACAACCATTCATATCCCATTTCATTGAAATCCTTCTCTGGACAGCTTTTCGTAGTCAACATCTTGTACTTTTTGACTGAGTTCCCTTTCCTCTTTCCTGGCAATCCTTACATTGTATTCATGAAGAATTCAAGCTCTTTTCTGCAGGACAAATGCAACAAAAGAATAATGTGTTCCGTTTGATGCACAAGCAATCTGAACTTTTCTGTACTCAACAGTAAATGGTTTGGTGCATAAGTGGAGATCAGCATGATAAGGACTAAGGATTAAAGTTCTGAAATGACTGATCGAAAGAGTAACTCTGAACAGGAGTGAAGCAAAGCAACTGGTATTGAAAAACTCAAAGTCAACTAACCGAAAGGATTGGTTTTAGTAAGAGATAGTTTGAATGCTACAGTGACTGACGGTAATCTTACAGATAGGTCTATTTCTCTCACACAACACCAAAGCCTGGATGGCACAGAAGTCAGCCTCAACATGGTGGACGTGGAAAGGGTAGCTTTTGTTAGGGCCAGGACCAGTTTCTAGGCTGACAAGCTTCATATTTTTGGTCTGCCTATAAAATAGATTTACTAAGAATGTTGAAATTAAGGACAATAAATCCCGACATGTAAGGGTATTTTGAGGATTAACAAGTTGTGGAGACTCATTGGGAATATAGGATTAAAGAAACAGGTAAAAAAAAACAAGAATCTAAAGGTCTATACAGAACATAGGACCAGCATAGTAACCTCTAAACAAGGGACATAACCTGGTAATTTTGAGAGTCAATTACATTTTATTTACTTGATTTTCATACTCTATATCTATTTGATTTACGATGTTATTTTCAAATTATAAAATATTGATTGCAAATTGAAGTGATGCCTTAATTGGCTTTCACCGCATATTAAAATATATGACATGTGCCGCATTATCTCATGAAGTGTTGCATACGAGGTATGGAATGTATTGTTATTTCTTTCAGTTCTAAAGTCCTAGAATGAGGTGAATTTGAGTTGAAAAGGTCTTACTGCACCAGAAATTACAGGCAATGTTCTCTTGTACGAGAAGATTAGTCAATGGCCAGCTGCTTTGTCTTCTATAGGGTGGAAGTGTCTCATATACTGTGACCAATTTGATCAATCTGCAGGCCTGCCATTTCCGTTGGCCGTCATATTCATATCCAAGTACTAGCCTATCTATGATGTCAGCTGCATTATCGACAATTAGTCTGTCATTAATCAGTTGTAATTAGTACTGTCATGCTGCATTACCAGCAAAGAAGAAGGTGGAAAATATAAGCAGTAGGTAGGTATCATACCTGTTCTCGCCATGACTCGTTCGAATTTCCCCTCGCTGTCCAGTGAAGAGGTAACGGTTTACAACATCATTAACAGTAAATCCAAGTATCCTTTCAAGTCAATAGTAACCAGAATCAAGACAACTGTCCAAAGTAACAGTCGTTTGTGACACTGGTTAATGTCTTGTCCCCTGGAAGACTCGTGGAAACAAGTTGAACTTGGGGAACCAGTAATTATAAAACTAACCCTACTGTTTTAAACGAGGAAGTTAGTCCCACCATTAATTTGCAAAGACTGGATGGCCCATCACAAAGCTTCTGTGAAAGTTATCTATCGAAATTTGATGGAGATGGAGTTCCACTTCTTCCAATGTGGGAGGGAACCACACAGATTTGTTTGGCCATCTTCCTCCATCCTTGCTGTTCAGGTATAATTGCGCTTTAAAATTCAGGTTGATATTCTAACCCTGATCAGTAAATTTTGATCATACACGCATTTCTGATCCATTTGCAAAAATTTTGAGGCCAATGTAACAGCGTTCAAATTTTCACAAAGAATTGCTAGATGGAAACTATACGATAACCCGCTCCTTCTCAAAGCATTTGGATTTGGACTCTTCAAAACGATGCACGAGGGAAACGTAAATTAACCCAAGACCCCCCAGCGAGGAGAGGAGATGGGTACTAGTTGAGCTATAGGCTCTTTGAAAATTAGTGCTCTTTACAAGTCATTGTGACAGAAAAAATGGACTTGTCTATGCAACCTAGTCCTAGCTTGTCATAAATCTAAGGGAACCTTAGCAGCCCAACCTTGAAAAACCTATGGCCAGTCGTCCTTTACGAAGTTCAGTCTAGAACAGCATTGCTCCTTTTTCCCAGCACCCTTGTGATGTCATGAAATCTCGATAGGAGATTGAATACCCCTCTCCGGCACTAAGGTGATAAAACGGCCACTCCTCTAGCCACAGAGAATATGATAGCATAGCAAGCCTTAAAAATAATCCAACTCTTCAGCTTGATTAGCTTTCACTACTAGCAGAATATCAGCATTTTTGGAACTCCAAGCAGGTGCTCCTTAAACCAACTCCTCCTTTGAATGCCAAGGCTAATTTTACATTATAGGCACATATTACATTTACATTTGCCGCGCCACCCTACTAAGATTCAAACAACTGCCTGCCCTAGGTAAATGTCGTGTACCAAAAAATAAAAAAAATAAAAAGGAAGAAAGAAAGAATGAGTGAGACAGTAAAGAGTTATGCCACTCTGACTCCACTTCAAAGTTTTCCTTCCATGGCATCCTCCTTATTACGGCAGCCAGCAGAGAGGAAAGGCCCTTGCCAAGGCTTTGAGCTGGTGGAGAAGATAGACCCAGCATGAACCGAGATGCCCTCACTTGGAGCAAGGTCAATTTGACAGGCAACACATGTTGATTGCGACGTGGAATCACCATTCCCTAATCTGGAGAACACATTAAAAATCAGAAGTTAGATGTACAGTAAGAAATTCCATTCCCACTTCTGCAGGACACAACTTAAGATGTAGGTAGACATTGAGACAAGCGCAGAGCTCCCACATTTCAAGTATGCATGATAAAACATGGACCAGTAAACAAGGATAACCCCACTGACACGTCAACTGAAAAAATTAAACTAGATGTTATGGGGTGTTTTGTTACCCTATACATTTTAGGGTAACAATACAAATTTTTCATGCTCCATAGTAAACTGTGTTTAGAGAGAGATGAAAATTATCAGCATTGACTAAGTAAAAAGGATCCAAGATATCCAATTGTTTTATATGCCACTGCGCACCAGATTCATCAGAGATGATCAAGGCTTGTGATTTCTCTTATCTGCTATTAATTAAAATTAAATTACCAGGCAACAAATTACAAAAGTCAACTCAAAGAAACTATTTAAAAACTTGCATTCCTCTTCAACGTGCTAGGGCTCAAATCTAAATCTAACAAATTCCCATCCCATAGCCACAATAGCCAAGGACTGAAAAGCATGAGGCTTGCACCTTACATCACTTTTGTACAATGTTTAAATAACATATGACCCAAAAAAAACATACATACAGATAGAACAAAGAGAAAAAAATCAATTCAGGTCCAAATAATGACAAATTACAACTGGAACAGTTAAGGGGTACTTCAAAAAATACATTCACAATTTACAATAAACAACTGGAACTCAAAGACAAAATCCCCCCCGACTAGTCATAACTCGTAGCTCATGTACGTTAGGAGCAACAGTCCTTTCATAGAGGGAGTGCACATAATACCTCCTAATAAAAAATCACTTGAGTTTGTTTGCTACTGTCAAGAGTTAACACAGCGATAACATATGATATGAAACTGATAGAACATGATGCATGTTTCCTCTCCTCCTGCTAAAAACTTACTTTTCATTCCATATGATGTAAAATGAAGGACAAGGGTGGAGTATTGCAGGGGGGAAATCAAAGTGAAAAAATGCATGCAAAAATGACAGCACTAACCTTTCAGCAAGCAAAGCTGACCCTTCTTCAAACAGTTCTTCAACTATACCTATGGCAGAAAGCTTCTTCAATAGCTTACTGGCACAAAAATGGGATTTCTTCCTAAACAACAAGGCTCTTAGCTTGTTCTGTTTCTTGGGAGGAGTTGGAGGTGGAATTGAATTGTCAGGAGGAATTATGTCAACAACTACGCAGGTTGTATCATCCTTTAGTCCCCTTGTCCTTAATGCTTCCTGAAGAACAACATATAAAATGAAGAAAGCAATTTGAGCATTTAGTATATAACACAAGCATTCATTAAAAGCAAGATGCTACTTCAAGTCAGCTTTGCCCATAATATCAACATGCATATTATTTTAAAACTGGATTGGAAATTTGAAGGGCACTCTAATTGAACCAAGACTGGCAAAGGAGAAACGCTGCAGAAAAGAATGTTAATCACCTTTACTACTTATCTGGCAGCAATTTCAGCTGCTAAACCATGACAAGATTTTGCTGCCATTTCTGAGGATAGAGCATCCCGTATGCCATCAGAAGCAATTATAAGCCTCCCACCTGCATTTGATAGCTTTATATGGAATGGAGTAAATTAGAGTTCATGCTAAGGGACAGCACAGACATTAAGTATTACTGTACAGGCTTTGCATTCAGAGAAAGAAAATAATTAAAAGAGTACAATACATTCAACAACTAAAAAAATACTTAGTAGAAGTAAACTGAAAATGATTCTTACTTTCACTTGTTTGACAAATGGAACAGGAACTATAAACTCTCCAACATCCATGTCTCCAATTGACCTAGAAAGGCATAAACCTCCAGGCCAACAGCGAAGTGGACCGATCTGTAGCATTTAAAGGTTTAGCAAAATATATATACAGATATACCAAAATTACCATCGCCTGAAAGAACATTCATTTAAATGACAAGCAGTAAGACTTTAACATTGTAATAAGAATAGCGTGCAAAATCTAAAAGCACCCCACCTCAACACCACCAACAGTGCCAAGCCTTCCAACTACCCCACCACTTGCAGTCACCCTTTTCCTCCCACAGATATTGTAGAACAGCTTATACTTCTGTCAAATATTTAGAATGAATAAGGTCTTGAGAATAGACACATACTCCTCCACATTCTCTTGAAGTCTGTGATCAACAGTTAAGGAGAAAACAGCACCACCCTGAGCATCTAAAATACAACGCGTGTCCCCAACAGAAGCAACAGTAACAGTCCATCTATCAACTATTACAAATGTTGCTGTGGTACCTGATGTTTCTCCTGAAGAAAGGCATAGCATAGATTTAAACAGAAATTATCAGAGTTACCTAAATGCACAAAATGGAAACCTAGAAAGGATAAAAAAAAAAAAAACTGAAGGATCGGGGTAAATAATCCCATGCCTCTGCTCTGGAACTCCTTGTCAGTCATCACAAATCCAGCACCTAAAGCAAGGGGTTAAGCTTGAAGCCACTCCTCCCGTCCAAGATCACGTGGAATAGCACCCAAAATATGATTCAACAAATTCTCCCTTGTATATATTGCTGCAGCATTTCCATTGTGCCCGTCGAAGATCTGAAAGTTAGGAGAGAACAAAGACCATCTTATCGAACAAGAAAGATATAGCGGTAGAAAACACATTCAGGTCTTACAGATACTTTGTTTGTTTCTGAACTCTGTTAAAGGAGGTCATTCAACGTTTTCCACTTTACATACATTACTATAACAGGGACTGGAAAAGGGAAAGTTGTTAAGTTTGAAGCAACCATTGCCCTTGGTCAACAACAGAATAAAACTCTTTGGAATATTAGATCATCAATCAAATAGATAAAATAACAAATGAATACCCCAACTGCAAAAATTCTTCCAAAGTTGGTTTTACAGAGAAAACAACACTGAAAAGTGGACAGCATAGAAATATATCACCCAACTCAAAGTTTGGTGCACCGTGTCCTCATGCCCACAACAATACAAAAGAAACTGCATTCGCCAAGGATTGAAGCAGAGCCTGTTAATGCATATAGGCAATTTGGTCAATGACCCGATATCCTCACTTACCAAAAAAATACTCCAAGAAGGTATATTTGTTAATTACTTTTTTATAAAATATATTTATTAATTATATTTTATAAAATAAAAATTACCCCACTTAACAAAAGGTTCCAAATATAAAATAAAAATTGCTCGTTTATAATTTTTTATCCTCTTATTGTCTTCAAGCCGCTCCTATATTGAAGAGGAGTTAAAAGAATAAGAATTACCGCAAACACATAAAATGTTGATGACGAATTCCCTGGTAACCGTTGACAATCCATCTTAATCTGGAAATAATCCTCCCCTTTCCTAGACTGGGCTGCATGACCATATTTGACAATTGGCTTCTGCATCTTCTCGATCCTCATTTCTCTGCTGATCAAAGCAGCAAGAGGCACAAGATTATTACGCCGACGCCTCTCTTCTCCAGAAGCTATTATCTTCCACTCCAATATCTTAACCACCGGAGTCTGGACCTCAGACCTTCAAGTTACTGGTTTCTTTTGTCTCAAGAGCATATCATACCCCAAAAATCGAAGTGCTTATGGTTATATCCGGTGCAATCCAACTTAAACATAGCTTCCTTGATATCAATGGTTCTCCCAGAATATATCAAACCCGCCAACCCCGTTCGCATGAAAATTCCAAAACTCAACACTGGAAT